TGTTGATTTGAAGCTCTATGCAGCATCGCCTGTTGTCTCGATCAGTGCAATAGCAAATGTTGAGGTTAGATTCATTGATTAAATTCTTGTTGATTTTTGTTTCAAGCCAATTGGACATGATGTCCATTGCAATAACTGCTATAACACAAGGCACAGAAGTTTGTTTTCTATACTATTTGCAGTCTTGTATTCACAGTTACAGTACTTGTTTAAGTTTACTGTTTGATGTATTGATATATTCCCCTGCTATACTAACAAAAAACGTGTGTGGTTTGCTATAATATAATCTGTTAATGTGTGGAAATTGCTCTCTAATTGTATGACATATTTGTATCGTTTTGGAAAATAACGGTATTTGCAATGTAGGGTATCACAGGAGTGTTGGAGGTGTTTCTATGATAGACTTACCCTTTGTTCATGTCGGTCTTATTCAATTTACCTTAGATTTACTTCAAAACTGTAAAAAATAGACATTATGTGCCAGTGTTTTTTTATGTACGTTGTTAATTAGCCTTTGCGTTGATCTACGTTACGGCCAGCCATCGAACATGTTTATTGTTGCTCATACTGCTTTTATGAACGGTTGCTGCCAAAAAAGATTTAAATTCAACGTTAAGCCGATTTTGTTTACTGATCAAAATATAGGGCTTTTTCATGCACAAGGAAGACATGATAGCGACATCATCATCAAAGGTACAATCTCTACAACGATAATATGTTTATTGTTCCATTGTGCGTCTGATAAACAGAACAAAGTTGGTACAGGAAGTGTGTATTGAAAATAGGTTAAGAAATATTTAAAAAATGCCAAACATAGAAAATACACGGAAGTTGTCTTTGTCTAAATATACCTAACTGCCACATGCCAATGGAAGAGGTTGTTGTTATGATAATTGCTTTAGCTATGTCTCGTGTTCTGCGGTTATTATTCTTCATCATCAGAACTACTGTATTCGTCACAATAAAAAACTTATTTTGAATGATAAAGTGTTGTCGTAGCATATTCAAAACCCTCTTCACAAACCCAGCTCCAAATTATCACAGCATACGTATGACTGAAAGATTATCTGCATGTAACTGCATAAATGGTCCTACAGATATAAATTATTATATAACTATAATTTAATCTTGCTTGTAACAAGCATTTTCATTGGCTTAAAAGTTTATGTTATCAGCCCAAAACGGTAAAAAACTGACGTCGCCGTTTGTAACGTCGCTTTTGATTTGCTGATACAGCGGCGTAATAATTTCTAAGAGAATAGAGTCCATCAATAAAAGTGGATCTCCACAGGGATTGTGTATAGTAGATTATATCATAAGGATTAACTTGAATATATTTTGTATGTTATGGAGCTATTACACACAAAACCGGAGTGTACTCTCATCATAAACTGCTTCACAGTTTATTTAAATTACACTCCCTTTTTGTGTTATATCTCCATAACATTAAAAATATATTCAAGTTAATCATTAAATACAAACGTAGGACTAGATGTTGATATGACTGCATACGTTGTATGTTGGTCTACATGTCCTTATGACTGCAAACGTAGGTCTAGATGACTAATTAATTCACACGCCTAAATGAGTATGCATCTTGGACTAGATACATTATAATTGTATACATGCAGGTGAACCAAATCTATCAACCGTACTTGGCATGTCCTGTAATGGAGTGATAAAAAATATCAGATGAAATTCGGCATGCCGGATAAAACACCCAAATCTAGTCATGTCATCAATAAATACGATTACTCAAATAACCGCAATTGTGAATTTAATAAATATTTGATACGAAAAACCATCCATTTCCTCCTCTTCATTACTCGCTACAGAGTGCGTCTGATACTACCCAGCGGTGTGTAAACATGCATTGGTGACACAATTGTGCAGATGTTCGAACCACAACAACGGTACTCTTCTTCTTCTTGTGGATAATAGCAATCCTTCACATAAACTAAAGGTTACATGCTATGCGCTGGGAAATGTACAAGGGAATAAGGGTTATTTTTTGGATTTTTATTAAATATAGATAAAACTATTTACAGGGTACAGATTTAGAATGTTGAAGACAGGTATGACACAGGGATAGCAGACTTGAATGCTTCCACTGTGTCAGTTGATACGGCTGAATGAGGGAAATGATTCCATTGACTGATGGGTCGAGGATAGAAGGAAAATGTATACGTATCTTTTGTGGTCTGTATGTGTTTAAAGGCATGATGAGTGTGGTGGCTGGATCTGGTTCTACTGTCAGCTGGTATTAAAAGGTTTGTTGGATAAATTGCTACTACATTATTCAAAATTTTGTAAAACATGACCAGTCTGAAGTATAGTCTGCCAGTGTAAAGGGGAGGCCAATGTAGTGTTTCCATCATTTCAGTTACAGAGCTGGTGTTATGATATCTGCTGCAGACAAACCGTGCAGTGCGTCGTTGGACTTTTTCAATTTGGTTACTTTGGTTGTTGTTATGTGGGCCCCAGACAGGTGAGCAGTAGTCAAGTTTTGGACGGACAAGGATTTTATAGGCATGATTTTTTACTTTGGAGGAATTTATTTTCAAGTTTAGGTTTGCTTGTAACGTGACGACAAGGTATTTTGCCGAATCAGTAATTTCCAGAGTGTGACCATGAAGTTGATAATTTGAAGTAAATTTACTTTGACGTCTGTTGAGAACTTTTAGTACTGTGCATTTATCAGGATGGAAACTCATTAGCCAATCTTTTTCCAATTTTCTAGCGGCACTCAGATCTGATTGTAATTTCTCAACATCATCTTGTGTTTTTATGGTTTTATAAATTATGCTGTCATCGGCGAAGAGGCGTAGAGTGCTGAATTTGATATATTCTGAAAGATCATTAATATAAATGAGAAACAGGATAGGTCCGAGGACCGTACCCTTGGGGCACCTGAAGTTACAGGGATTGTAGATGATTTTTCACCATTTAATACTACGGACCGTGTTCTGTTGGATATAAATGAAGACATTCAGTTAAGTGTGTTGTTCTGTATACCATAGAATTTTAGTTTATAAAGTAGGTGGGGGTGAGAAACCTTGTCAAATGCTTTAGCGAAGTCCAAAATTATAACATCAGTCTGGAAGTTGTTGTTCTGTGTGGAGGCACGATCCTGGATGACAGAAATTAGCTGTGTTTCACATGATCGAGCTGGCCGAAATCCATGTTGTAAGTCATGTAAAATTTTGTTGTTTTCCAAATGTTTCATAATGTTACTACATAAAATATTTTCGAGGAGCTTACAAAAAATACAGGTGAGTGAGATGGGACGATAGATTATAGGATTTTGTTTATCACCTTTTTTTGTTACAGGGCATACATCAGCATGGTTCAAATCATGAGGTACTGTGCCCGAAGTTAGTGATTTTTCAAAGAGTAGGGAAGAATTGGTGCTACAAAAGATTTAGATTATTTAAGAATTCTGCCATGTATTTCATCGGGACCAGTGGCTTTGAAGGGATTGATGTTGTTACGTAATTTTTCAATGCCTTGTATGAATGTCATCCATGGTAGGGTGGGGACTGGGGCCTTTGTCTGGGATTGGTGTGTCGGTACCAGGTGTGAAAGCCTTCTGGAATTGACCGTTCAGTATATTCGCTTTTTCAGATGGTTCATTGTATAATTGTCCATTATTTCGTAGTGGTGGTATGTTAGGGCCTTCAGATTTTTGTGATTTTATGTAGGAGTAGAGGTTTGTTGATCGCTCTCTGGGATGTTTAATATCATATTTTCTATATATGTCCAGTAAGCTGATCGAGTTTCCCTCTGTATTTCTAATTTAAGTGCCCTTAGAACATTGCATTTGGTGTCTTTCCCTTGTTTTTTTTGTTGTTTTGTACATCCTTTTATACTTTTTTATTTTCTTCAATAAGCAACCCTTGATCCAGGGGGAGTTCTTATTTTCCTTTAATAATTTTTGGGGGATATTCTCAGAGATGGATTTTGAGAGACTGGTTTTAAAGGTACTCCATATTTCATGTATGTTTTCAGTATCATAGGCTTCTTTTAGAGTTTGATAGATGGTCTTGAGGTCGTCATTGATGTTTTCCCGGTTAGCTTTATTAAACTTCGGGATCTAACGGGGTTTGGTATGGATACGTCTGAGTGATGTTGATAATTCTGACAGTACGATATCATGGTCGGCCTCGCCTAGGGGTGGGATTGTACGGATGTTGTTGATGATATTGGGATGGTTAGTTAGAATAAGGTCTAACATTTTGTCATTTCTAGTTGGGATATTGACAAGCTGATAGAGGGAATGGTCATTAATGATGTCAATTAGTTGTTGGTGGGTGTTTGGGTCTCTCGCCAGCAGAGCGAAGACTCAGGGGGGATAACTCTCATACTTTAACGTTTGCAACTATCCATATGTATCAATTCTCATTTATTATTCATTTGTTTCGATTCTGGAAACGGAATCATTGTATTGAAATAGAGTGCATGCTCATACAATATACCGTAGCAGTCACTTGATGAAGGAGATTTCAAATTGATGGCAAGTAGAGATATACGGTACGCTACCTGTTGCCCGAAGCGGCCAATCATAGGTATAATCCCTGATGAGAATTGCCGTAGCAGGAAATTAATTATCCGCTTAGTCGCGACCTTTCCCTGTCCAACACTTTTCCGTCAAGGGATGACAACGTTATTACACCGCGGGTGCACGTCTCTATAGGGCCACATTCGACTTAAACAGCGCGCGCACAGACTGATGGACTTGAGATATGATCCGCGGTCCAGTGAACATACTTTAGTGGTACATTTACGTAGTTCTCAGAACAGGATGTATGTATTATACACACAGGTGAAAATTGAACATAACCCTGCATACGTGTTAGAGGTGCCAGTGTCAGATACCCTGTGTAACACATGAGATAATGGTGGTAATCGGTGCGATGTAGGGACTGTATACCCATGGAGAGTACCTAACAGTCCGTGTATATATAGACATGACGGTTAACACAATGGCCATTAATTCACAGGTTGAGGAGGAGCTGAAGAAAAAACTCAAGGATAATGACTGCGGAATGTCGACAATGCTCCAGGCCGCGGCAAGTAAGCACCCACTCCCGATTTAAGATATTTTTTTACATTTTGTATGGGTCCATCGTCTAATGTTAACATATGTTTACCGACCCATGTCTATAACGTCACATGTTTACACACACACACGCGAGCACCAGTAGCTTTCAAAACATTTTACAAGTGGAAACACCACATTCTGTATTTATCATACTACCATATTCTTCACGTGCTTATAGTATTTTGCGTATGCATTCGAGATATACTACTTTTGTGTGACATCATCAAATGATTGTGTCAGACTTCAAGATAAATATGACGTCACAATGCTGTCAATAAATATTTATATATATAAACGTCAAGAACTGCACAAAAATGTGTGTTTCATAGTAACATTCGAGAAGTTCTTCATCGTTTGATTTATCAATATTTTAGATTTGGTTTCCCACTCTTAAGATTATTAACACTTACCTTGTTCGTCAGAGACTGGGACTGTCGTGCAGTGTATCTGAAAGAAAGAAACGTACAGTGTATACACTGGTTTTGTTATGCTTATACGAAACTCAAAATAATAAAATATCCAACTAAATATGTGTTGTACAGTTGCTTACCGTAATATCACACTGAGGAATCTGTCGTCACCTGTTTACATTGTACATGTGTCTACCGGCACTTATTTACACTGTACAGGTGTTTACTTTTACATGTTTACATTGTACAGGTATATACCGTCACATGTTTACCTTGTACAGGTATATACCGTCCCATGTTAACATTGCACAGGTATTTACTGTGCCATGTTTAAATTGTTCATGTGTCAACTGCAACTTGTTTACGTTGTAGATGTGTCTTCTGTTACATGTTTACAATGTACAGGTGTCTCCCGTTGAATGTTACATTGAACAGGCGTCTCCTGACGAATGTTATATTGTACAGGTACATACCGTCACATAATTACATTGGGCAGGTGTCGCTCGTCGAATGTCTCATCGTACATGTGTCTCATGTCGAATGTCTCATTGTGCAGATGTCTTCTGTCGAATGTTATATTATACAGATGTCTCCTGTCGAATGTTATATTTTACATGTGTCTCCTATCAAATGTTATATTGTACAGGTATCTCCTGTCGAATGTTATATTGTACATGTATCTCCTGTCGAATGTTATATTGTACAGGTATCTCCTGTCGAATGTTATATTTTACAGGTGTTTCCTATCGAAAGTTATATTGTAAAGGTATGTCCTGTCGAATGTTGTAATGTACAGGTGTTTCCTGTCAAAAGTTATATTGTAAAGGTATGTCCTGTCGAATGTTATATTTTACAGGTGTTTCCTATCGAAAGTTATATTATAAATATATGTCCTGTCGAATGTTATATTGTACACGTGTCTCATGTCGAATGTTATATTGTACAGGTATCTCCTGTCGAATGTTATATTGTACAGGTATCTCCTGTCGAATGTTATATGTTACAGGTGTTTCCTATCGAAAGTTATATTGTAAAGGTATTTCCTGTCGAATGTTATATTGTACACGTGTCTCATGTCGAATGTTACATTGTACAGGTATCTCATGTCGAATGTTATATTTTACATGTGTCTCCTGTCGAATGTTATATTTTACATGTGTCTCCTGTCGAATGTTATATTTTACTGGTGTCTCCTGTAGATTGTTACATTGTACAGGTGTCCGTCGTCTCAAAAGTACAAATGTGTCCGCCACATACTTGAACAAATGTTTACCGTCGTGTGGTTACATGCTCCACTGCTTCTTATACGGAAACTATTTGTGTTGATGCATTGCTTGCAACACTGTTAAACCTGACACGGTACAATCATGGACAACCAAGTTCACAGTCAATATAAATACAACAGTTTTAAAAAAAGGCGTTTCGACGACAAGACTTCGTGAAATTGTCTTTGTTGTATTATCGTTATTAGAACACTGATATGCTTGTAGTTCTATTCGAGCGTTTAAGGATGACAACCCACCGACAGCTGTCTTTTCTTTTGTGCATGTAGTATTCCGGTTTAGATTTTCAAGACAGGGGGTCTTGTTTTTGTCATCTCATGCACCTGTGTATAACAGCATTATTAAAAATGTAGTTATCCATGAAGTATTAAGCCCTATATAAGCGCTGAACTGCGATTTTGGAAACACTTATGACGGTATGTGTACTGTAGTACACAGTTACACGAATAAATCAGCGACTTAGTACATTAATCCTAATCCGATTATACCTTAATCTCGAAATCTGATTACGGCTCAGATTGGTCCGCTTGTTACTGAAATAGTACTACAGTTAATTCTGTGGATGTTACCCAAGGGTGTACGTGTGTGGTGTTTGAAAGCATTTGAGAGTAGAAGCCACTCCTGTTATGCGATCTATTTATTTATAAATACCGTCGTTTACTAAAATAGTCTGTCTCATTTTGTCTCATATTATAGTAAAATCTGCCTTTTTTTACAGTGTTTCAGACTGTTTTTAGATTTTTATACTCTGTGATATATGTCAATGATGGAATTAAAAAACCTTTTATTAGGTCAGATCTATTATTATTCTTAGTCTTAATAAAAAATATTCTTTTTTTATTTACAAGCTGCAATGTGATTTTAATTATATATTTTATTCTAAATTGTGATATCTTGTAATGACATGCCTATTTTACTTGAATAACTATGATTATTATTATGATAAATGTGTATACCGCTTATCCGTGGAGTGCTTGAGCTGACGCGGATGAGTGGTCGCTTTTCCTTTACAATTTAAATTAATTTTGCTACTGTCGATATGACGGTACATGTAACAAATGTAATAACGATTTCTAAATTAAAGTTCTATTTTGAAAATTTTCTAAATACAGGTTTTATGCGTGTTAGACATGTAAATTGTACGCATTTCGATACACAGTTTTTGACTTAATATGTCTGTACAATTTTCACATGCTAAATTGACATCTTAAACAAGCATACTTCTATGTACAATGTAGATTTGCAATGTTAGTGCTCGATTGTTATTTAATTTTAACACACATATATGTACAATGAAGATATGCTGTATTGATGCTTAAACGACATAAAACTAAACATACATTGTACATATATGTACAACGTCAGTATGCTGATATATAGAGAATAAAACATGCCTTTTCCCATATCACACCCAGTATCAACCCGAGACTCCAATATCAGCCCGAGGGGAAAAGGGCATATTTTATTCTGTTTATTGCATACTTACGAATAAGATACGGATAGATCTTCTATCTGATGAATTATTTTTCTTTTGAAATTTTGAAAAACAAAAAAAATCAAAAGGGTTCCGAATGACGTTGTTGGTGGGCTGATTTGGGTTAAAGCAATTGTGTCGTATCGCATATACACAAAAAAAAACGCATTTTTCTTTAAGTTTGTAATAAATTGATATACACAGTGTATAAAACAATATATATGTACAACGTTCATGTGCTTTACAGACATATAATCATCACATGTGTATGCATATGCACAAATACTGTGTTTACATCTAACTACTCACGGGTGTAAATATGCCTCATTATACCCATGTAATTTAACATGTACATACATCTAAAATACCCACATGTTATATCGACATATAACTTTACATAGGCACAATGTTAGCTTACTATATTTCCATAAAACTATACATGGGGCATAGACTTACAAGTCTGATTGAAACAATTTGTTGAGCTATTTGAATGATATTTGTATAAGGAATCTGAAAAGTTTTAGTGCTTCACTTCAATAAAATGATGAATGTTCTATGCAGTGGGAATACTCTAGACAATGAGGATGTTTGTGAATACTCTAGACAATGAGGATGTTTGTATTTGACATCTCGCAAAGGTTTTGGGAAGTGGAAATGCCAGGATGAGACGTTTGGCTAAGGTTCTAGGTAGTAGGATTGTTTGAAAGAGATATTTGGCAAATATCGTTACAGTAATAGTTTATGTCAGTGGGAGTGTTTGAATGAGACATTTCGCAAATATTCTAGCTAGAAGTACTGGTCTCAGGTAATGGAAATGCTTGATTGAGACATTTTACAAAGGTTCAAGGTAGTCGGAATGTTTGAATGAGGTATTTGGCAAACATTGTAAAAGTACTGGTTCAAGTTAGTGGGAATGTTTGCATATGACATTTTGCCAGGGTTCTAGGAAGTGTGAATATTAAAATGGTACATTTTCGCAAATATTCGTTAGTACTGGTTAAGATAATGGGAGTGTTGAAATGAGACATTGGCAAAAGTTCTAGGGTAGCAGAGAAGAGTAGAAATGGCTTGACCCTAAAAATAAAGGGCATGACTCGGATAAACATGGATAGCGCATTCATCCTGCACAACACACCTACATATATACATATATTTATAAACTACATTTTGAATACGTTTTTTTAGAAGAATGAATGCTTTTTCAAAAAGTAATTTCCCCAGATTTGGGACTTGTGAAAACCATGGTTAGTTACCACATCAAAAAACGCCAAAAAATGTAAAAAAAAAAAAAGGAATTAACCCAAACTTTGGACCACGCAAGTAGTATTTTTTTTCTTATAACCTGTCTTAAATTAAATATCACCTACTCGGTCACAAATACTCACGTTTTAGTATAGGTCGTCAAACTAAATTTATTACAATATTTACACATGTGCTGAGTATAAAAATAGACTTCACGAAAAGCTAACTTTTGTTGTGTAAACGCAGATTCATAAATTGGCAAAAAAGTAGTCTCAAGTCAAATTCGATTTGGTTTTTTTAAATGTGAAGCCCACATAGTCCAATTCATCATGTATATGCCAATTTTAGATTTTTTTTAAACTTTTGATACATGTAATATTACAGGGGTTATTCATTGTACAAAAATATCACCCATGGCCACCGTACGCTACTGTACACTGCTACCTAGATATTGGGATATTTGAATGAGACATTTGACAAAGGATCTAGGGAGTGAACATGTTTGAAGGAGACATTTGAAAAAGGATCTAGGGAGTGAACATGTTTGAATGAGACATTCGACA